GGTGAATGTCAACAAAAAATCTATCAGGTTGGGATGGCGCACCAATATCCGAATCTTACCTATCCAGCCGGAGCTGACACACGGTCTCTTGAATATCCGCCTGATCCGTGTCTCTGAGCTGCTGAACGCCGATGCTGCTCGCTATAAAGCATCCCGTTCTACCGATACCTGCACTAAGGAGAGGAGCCCAGGGAACGAGGTGAGGAGATAGAAAGAGGCGACAAAGATACGAGAGGAGACCATGAGATCAGATGATGAACAATGAGAACCCTAAATCTTTTTTTTTTTTTTTTTGGTTTTATTCATGACAACAACCTGCAGTGGACGATGATTGGCCCTGGTCCACCTGCGGATTCTGCGCCTGGTTGGGAATCAGGTGAAAGGAGGGACTTCCTGTAGGTCTCTACTTCTTCCACCATCAGCAGCAGAGGAGCGGTGCACTTTGGGATGTGGTGATCGGGCCAGGAAGTGAACCAATAATGTCTGATAGGACGATGCTCTGAACCCAGCTGCGGAGAATGAGTTGGTAGTGTGTTTATTTGAGATCACAACAAAGGGCTAGGAAATCGGTGATTTTAGTTCAGCACAGAAATAGGTTGTAGCTTATTTTTTATGAAGCTCTCACATTGCTCATATGTTGTATTTGTATATTGTAATAGTATCACATAACTGTTTTGAGCGTATATTTGGATGCATAGTGTTTCTGTAATGCAGCGGTTATCACCAGTGCCTTACATGCAGAAGGTCCTGGGTTTGATCCCTCCTGTTTGTCAATCTGTGAATTGCAACCGTATACTTATCGGCGCCCCCTGTGGCAGCTTGTGGGACGAATAAGAGACTTTTCTTTCCATTCATATGTTGCATTTAATTTTTGGCTATTTATTTGAAAATTCTGCTGCTATTAAAGTAACATTTAAAGACAGCCCGTTACCTACTTACGAGTTGTGTACAGCTCGAGTACCAGCAAGGAACTTGGCTTCTTAACTAAGTAAGACGGTTTGTTCTGTGAATATCTTCAGGCTGGACTGGGCTTAAGCATGGCAATCTTTGAGAAAAAAAAAAGTCCCAAGGGAGTCCTGAAACCTCAGAGAGCCAAGAAACTGAACCCCGTTGCCACAAAAGAGGTTGTTAGCTCTTCATAATGATCAAATGTTCCTACAATTTCTCCCCCCTTTTTTTTAACTGAACCTTATTTAACTAGATAAATGTTTGAGAACCAGTTCTTGTTTGCAGTCATGACCTGGCCAAGAGCGCCCCCAGCAGAAAAGAGTACAGAGGCCGATGTTACATAAAAACACATGAAGAGAAAAACACACAGGTCAACATAACAAACAAGAACTGTCAGAACCAGATCTTCTTTTCCTTTCAGGCGTTACCACAGCAGATCATTGTTTTCCATCTCTCCCTGTTCTCTGTATCTTCTACTCTGACTCCAACTATCTGCATGTCCTCCCTCACTGCATCCATACATCTCCTCTCTGTCTCCTACCTGGTAGCTCCATCTCTAACATTCTTCTACCAATGTATCCACTGTCCCTCCTCTGCACATGTCCAAACCATCTCAACCTGGCGTCTCTAGCTTTTTCTCCAAACCTTCCTGTCTGTGTTGTCCCTCTAATGACCTCATTACTGATCCTGTCCATTCTTGTCACTCCTAAAGAGAATCTTAGCATCTTTAACTTTGCCACCTCCAGCTCCTCCTCCTGTCTTCTGTCTATTGCTACCGTCTCTAAACCATACATCATGGCTGGTCTCACCCCCGTCCTGTAAACCTTTCCCTTCCCCTTAAGCTGACACTCTTCTGTCACAGATCCCCTCCTGACACTTTTCTCCAGCTGTTCCATCCTGCCTGTACTCTATTCTTCACCTCTCTTCCACAGTCTCCTCTGCTCTGAACAGTTGATCCTAAGTACATAAACTCCTGCACCTTCACCACCTCTGCTCCTTGTAACCTCACTATTTCACTGTTCTGCCGTTCGTTTACACACATGTACTCTGTCTTGCTACGACTGACCTTCATTCCTCTTCTTTCTAGTGCAAACCTCCACCTCTCTCGGTTCTCTTCTAGCTGCTGCCTACTCTCACTACAGATCGCAATGTGATCTGCAAACATCATAGTCCATGGGTACTCCTGTCTGACGTCATCTGTCAATCTGTCCATCACCACAGCAAACAAGAAGGGGCTCAGGGCCGATCCTCGATGTAGTCCCACCTCCACCTTGAAGTCACCTCACTACTGTTGTACTAGTCTCATACATGTCCTGCACCACACTAACATACTCCTCTGCCACTCCTGACTTCCTCATACAAAACCACAATTCCTCCCTTGGCACTTTGTCATATGCCTGTTCTAGATCTACAAATACGCGATGTAGCTCCATCTGACCTTCTCTGTACTTTTCCATCAGCATCTTCATCCTCAAGGTAAATAATGCATCTGTGGTACTCTTTCTAGGAACTGTCAGAACCAGATGTGTAATAAATCAACAGGAATGGGTGATCAACAAGAGCAACAGCCAACTATGATTTTGGGGGGGAATTTGATCTTGAAAAGCAAAACAAGTTGCTCACGGCTCAAGTAAAGTACCCTTGAAGTAGCTCTCAGTTTCAAAAAGTTGGTGACCCCTAGTTCAGAGCGTCTATTTTAACATTGTTTGAATACAACATTGCATTATTTACAAGTCATGTGCAAACATTTAAATACAATTTGACCATCTGCAACCATTAATAACTTTTTTTAATAACTTTTTGTTTACCTGGATCTCCAAGTCTGTGACTGTGAATCCATCCTCCTCTCGACAGTGTTTTACTCTCAGGTGGAATCTGCCAAATTGATTTGTCACTTCGCTTTCCTCTTCATGGTCTACACTTTGTTTCCTCCTTTGCTCCTCCTCATCCTCCAAAACCTTAATCGTCCTTTTCTTTGGCTGCGGCCAGTACGCCTCACACTTCTGCAACAAACAACCAAAGCTTCCTTAACTAAAATGAGCCAAAAATATAGCTAAAAATAGCTATTAACTCATTCTTTGTCACATTCTTTAAAATGTTGCTATAAACTATTGTGAAAAAAAAATGATAAAAAAAAAAATCATTTCAATTTTCACAAGTAGTATTCGCGACGAAACACGTTTTACACAGTCACCTCGTTGTTCTCTTTCAGTCTGGTCACCATCACAATGATGCTGCTTTTCTCCTCCCAGCGGGCCCTGGGTGGCGATGTAGGACCTCGGGGTCCCTCTGTAACCCTGCAGCACAGAGAGGGAGATGATGACCAGCATCATGTTATTATTATTATTATTATTATTATTATTATTATTATTATTATTATTATTATCATTATTATTATTATTATTATTATTATTATTATTATTATTATTGTTATTATTGTTATTATTATTATATTTTTTTATTTTATAAAATGAAAGTTAATCTCCTGTAATGAGATTAACTTAACGGAAGAAAAGATCAGTTTATCGCTAACGGGAAGAATAAACCTATTGGTCCACTGCTGCCTCCAGTGGTTAAGCCAGTGGTCGCCAAATTGACCCTTGGGTTCATAACAAAAACTTCAAATTGACCCTTGGGTTCATAACAAAACAGTTTGCACCCCCGAAACAAAAAAAAAAAAACGTAGGGAAATTCCTCCGCGACAACTTTATATGACGCGAGTTGAGCATTTGCTGACACATATGTAGCTTTAGCAAAGAGACGTTTTTGGGCGCGGCAGTTTGCGAGTCTTCGTGCTCTGGATGGTTTGTCTCCAAATGGGGTGTTAGCTTGTTCAGCCTCAAGCTACTTGGGAGTCACTTGGAAGAACTTCATCCTCTGCTTTGCGTTTACGTGTCAGTTTCGCCAAAAACGACGTTTTCCAGTTTTGTCCGTTTTATGCTAGCATTGAGATTTTGTGTGTGTGTGGATGGGCGAGGAGCGCACTGTGTAGGGTTGCTACTGCTGCTCCGAGCAGATCATTTTACACCGCCTTCAGCCAAGCAGTTTTTTTTCCAGTCTCTTTTAAAACATTTTACAACATTGGACGAAATAAAACAACGCATTTGACCATTAGATCGAGGCAGGATTTGATCAACAACTACTGTGTCCTTGCGAAATAAAACTAAGCTAATTCACTCGAAGGACAGGTTGTCTTTCTCGTTAGGCAAGTCCGCACCACTTTTATTTAAAAAAAAAAAATACTCAGACTGTATCTGGCAGGAGGGGGCGCCCACAGCACAGTCTCGATTTTTAAAAAAAAATTCCATTTTTTTTTTTGTTTCCTTGTCGTTGCGTGGGTTGAGTGTAGTGGTAAATAACTTCCTTCTTCACTTCCTGTGGTTGTGTTTGGTCGTCAGACTCCTACGCTGAGAAAACGTTGGCTGCTGGCTTTTGGCATTAACCACATAAGCTGACATCCACTGAAGGGCTGCGATGGTATAATTCTTCAGGAAAAACAAACTACAGTGGAAGGCGAGAGACAATGTTGTCAAGTGTACAAGCACGGTTGGAACGGCCTCTGGCTGATGACACAAGTCACCACCACATGGGTGTCAACGTCTTGCAGCAATTTCTTTTTTTTTTTATGGTTTTAAGAAATGTTATCAAACAAAAAATGACTTGACATTGATAGTAAGTAAAGATCGGACAATTTGAAGATGAGAGAGAGTTATTGTGATATCGTTCACATTAACACCCATTTATTCATCTTCTACCTCAGGGGTGTTAAACTCATTTTGGTTCAGGGGCCGCATACAACCTAATTAGATGTCAAGTGGGCCGGACCATAAATACCTATAAATAACAAATAGTCCGTCTTTTTCCAATTTGTTTTCATGCAAAAAAAGTACATTAGATAAATCTTCTTTTTTTTTTTTTTTTTTCAAAATTCTAGCGGGACAGTTTTGGCCCACGGCCCGTATGTTTGACACCCCTGTTTTTCAGCTTTGTCGTAAAACAAAATCTGCCTGACCCTGATGTAGTTGGCGTTAATGTAACGGACTGGTCCAGCCTCGGATTTTTCGTCCAGGTTCTGCAGGACGACACGGGTCTCCGGATCTGAAACGGAGAGCGGCAGAGTTGAAGAGTGTTGGCGTGGTTCTGTGTTCTAACGTGCGAAGAGAGGAGACACTGACTGGGCAGGATGGTCTTATATCTGTCCTTGATGGCGTGTCCAGGAACGTCCAGCTCTGCTGCGCTCACGAAGTTAGTAGGGATCTTCTGCAGAGGAGAGAAATACAAGAGAAAATGAACGCACCTCAACTTCAACATTCTCTGTTGAACCATTTCAGATCTGTTCATTTTTGGATTCATTTTACCGGCATTCATCATCATTATTATTATTATTATTATTATTATTATTATTATTATTATTATTATTATTATTATTATTATTATTATTATTATTATTATTATTATTATTATTATTATTATTATTATTATTATTATTATTATTATTATTATTATTATTATTA